TATGTGTAAAGATACAATTGGCCAATTAAGGAAAAGTCAGTAGTGGTAGTACAATTTTTTAAATGATTCCACTTTTTTTGTTGTAGTAGGTATTGTGCTTAGGATTCCTGTGAATCTTACACTTCTGGGAAGAGGTTTCAGACAATAAGAATGTATTGTTTTGGCCTGGCTCTTTGAACTGCTTATTCAGATATAAATGCCCTATTAAATTACAGGAGTCCTACACTTCAGTATACATGCCTAGGAAGTACGTGCTTCTGCATTCATTATGGCAGAGTTACTTCCTGGGAAAAGAAAGGATCGGTGACTGTTTTGGCTAAGTGGTTCTGGATGCTGTAGTTCATTTACTGAAATGTATTCAAGCTATGTTATAGATCTCAATCCCAGCATAGCAAAACAATGAAACAAAACCACAGCAAACAGGGTTGGGGAGTTAGGAAGACAGGTAGTACAACAGATTGGCACGTGTGTGTGTGAAATGTCAAATATAGCAATGACAGTTAAGCTAAGACATGTTCCATATATAATGAAACATTCATTCTGCATTTCTAAAGGAACTGGCACTTTGTTCCCCCCCCCCAAGATTTCTGCAGCTTGCCCTCATTTTATTTTGCATTTCCTCATGCAAATCAGGTGACAGTGTGTCACTTGTGGGGGGTTCCTGTGGTATTCTCAGGGGTCAGTAGGTGGGTTTTGTTTTGTTTTGTTTTGTTTTGCAGGCAGTAAAAATTGATAGCGCAAGGTAACAGCCATCTCATGAAAATACTACCAGAAGTTCAATGTGTATGGCAAAATGCCGTCATTTCTTTATAGTCACCAACAATTTACATGGCTGCTTTTCATGGGTCCCCTCCCTATTTAATTCTGAAAACAATCCAGTAAAATAGATTACACTGAGAAATCTTCATTGACTCAAAGATGCCAAGTAAATTTGTAAATGACTAGGGATTTGAACTTGCATTTCTCTGTTCCCAATTCAACATTCAGCCCATTGCACTATATATTGCCGCCTTCAAAGTAGTGCTTATTGTATAATTTATTCCAAAGCTAAAATGTATTGACTAGTATGCTGTTGCGTAGCTATGCTGCCATAGTAGAAACACAATCAGCAATAGATTGCCACTAATCAAAGAGTCCCTTGCTTTAAGTTCAGGATGCATGCAGCTTCATCTTTAATTAGTAGTGATCTGCTGGTGCCACTGATGTCATTCCCACCATGCCAGAATAGAGAAGGATACTTGCCATTGGTAAAAAAATAAAAAAATTGCAACAATTAATTGCCTAATTTGCATAATATGAAAATATGCATTAATTAACATATTATACAAATTAATACAATATTCAGTTTGGACTGCTCAGAACCCCAAATACTATGCTCATAGTTGACACAACCCCCTCCCACCCAGCATAGCCAAATCTTTTCAAAACCCAAAGATTCCGTTGGGAAATGCAAGCTTGTATGTTTCTCCATTTAACATTGTGTGTTGTTGCATAGCATGGCCTGAGCCTGCTACTAACTCAATTGTTGTTGTTGTTTATTCACACCTGAGAGTCTTTGAGAATATCCCTGCCTTCTTATTAATTCCTTTGCTAGCTGCCTTTCCAATCTTCTCCATAGGCATACAGAAATAAAGCTCCACCCTATACATAGAAGAACAAGGCCGTGAAAAGATTTCCACTTTCTTTACCTTTTTTTTTTAACCTTTGCCAAGGGATGGGATGAAACTGGGTAGATCCCTCTGGGCTTTTCTCTGCACTTAAAGGGAAATAACCAACACCCAAATCCCTTAACAAAGTCCTGGTATTGTTATGGGCCACAAACTCCTAGCTTCCCTACCACCTCAAGAAAGCAAACGAGATGTGCAGGGAGGGCTCCAGGTAAAAACCAAGAATAACCAGCCCTCTCCCGTAACTGACACACTATGACATTATTTGCAACATTTGCAAGTTTGTGGCCCCTAAACTGCACAAAAGTGGCACATAATTTGAACTCAGATTTGGGAGAGATGTGAGATTGCAGGTTTGCAGCTAACACAGCTCTTAGGGCCCTACAGCCTTCGCTCAAAAAACTGCTGCAGCTGAGGATGTGTGGAGAGACCTCACAGCCATGTTGCACTTGCCTTAATAGGGTCTTATGCATTTTCCTTTTGGCTTAATATATGAATGCTATGCTTTGGTCAATTTTGTACTATTACATTTATTATTTTGTCATTACAAAATGACAAAATTTTGTAATGGAGAGACGTGGTGGCGCTGCAGATTAAACCGCTGAAGCCTCTGTGCTGCAAGGTCAGAAGACCAGCAGTCGTAAGATCGAATCTACACAATGGAGTGAGCTCCTGTCGCTTATCCCAGCTCCTGTCAACCTAGCATGTAAGAGTAGATAAAGAGGTACCACCTCAGTGGGAAGGTAACTGCATTCCATGTCTAGTCACACTGGCCACGTAACCACGGAAACTGTCTTTGGACAAACTCTGGCTCTACGGCTTGGAAACGGGGATGAGAATTGTGCCCTAGAGTCAGACACGACTAGACTAAATGTCAAGCGGAGCCTTTACCTATTTTGTCATTGTCTTCATGGTAGTAACATTGTAACTGCTCCAACTAGTATAGTTTAACAATTACCACTAGTATGCAATTGAGTGTACAATCGGAATGCTCATTTAACCAATAATGAACAGACTATGAAAAGTCATTTGTTGAGCCCATTAAATAAGCTTATTAAAAAGACACCCACAAATTGAAACATTATTTGTGATTTCCCACCATGCTGAAAAAGAGTTCTGGAGTTCCAGCCACTGAAAAATGCCACCCCGAGTTCTGGGTTGCCATATTACCTGATTAGAGAAGTTTCTGGACTCAGTTATCCTGGAACCTTTTCTCCCCTCCCAACCTTTGCCTGCCCCTTACCTGTGACATTACAAACATTTATTCCCAGCCTCAGATGTCATGGTTTTGGATCCAGCTAACCTATGGCAGCCACACTGCCAAAGCTTCAAAACCATACCACACAGAGGAATCAGACATACAGTGCATATTTTCTTCTGTGTTCACAAAAGAGATTTATGATTAGAGGCCTATATACAGTGGAACCTCATGAACGTCCCTACTTGGGAACGATGCGAACGGAACCTCGACTTACACCAAAAAAAGAGAAAAAACTCTCCTGCCCTTTTTTTGACCTAAATTCACCTTAGGTCAAAAGAAGAAAAAATTTTAAAAAATTCACCCCCTAGTGGTAGAGTACAGATTAACTGGCTTTGTGTTAGTTCCGATGGGAACTAATGCCTCTACCTACGAACAGCGCCTCGACCTACAAATGGAAAACAGCAGATACGGATTAAATGGTTTTCAATGCATTCCAATGGAAAAGTTTGCCTCGATTTACGAACTTTTCGACGTATCAACTTAATTCCAATACGGATTAAGTTCATAAATTGAGGTACCACTGTATTGTGATGGCGGGAAGTTACACAGCTGTCAAACACCATATAGAGAAAACTGTCCAGGAAAGGAAATTCTGGGAACAAGTCAAGATAGGCCAAAGATCCACAGAATCCAAAACTTGTTTGCTTCTGGGGTTTATGTGTGGCTCCTAAGAGGATTTAAAAAGTACACTAGGACTGGACTTGGCATATCTACATTATTTTCCCACTCTCAGGCAACCACAAAACCATTTCTTTAAAAACAGGTATAACCTTCTCTACCTAAATAGCATAAGTTGCCGAGGCTTTCAATGTAGCTGCACCAATGGCGTTTGCCACTCAAGTAAGTAGCATTGCTCTGTCCAAGTACCATCCTAGCCATGTCTGCTCAGATGCCAGTCTCCCCGAGTCCCTAGTTAAATGTGCTTTGGATTGCACCCCTAATTATTGAAGAATTTCCAGTTCCCGATCCTGTTGCACCCTCTCTTTCTTTTAAAATGAATTAAAAGGAATTCTGCTCTTGTTTATAGCTTTATGTAGTAATAGTTTCAGATTCAGAATAGATTTGTAGAATATGAAACACACAGCTCAGTTGTAATTATGGTTGTTGTTTTTTGAAACCATTTATTTGGTAACTTCAAAAAAAAGTTTTTTGCATAAAGACTCACCTTAGACATTCCAAATGACAGCACAGCAGCCTGCTCTTAGGTCTTAGGTTTAGGGCCCTGAGATTTCAGGGAATGTGCTGCTGCTCACCTGACAACCCTTAATCCCTGTCCAGTCAGGATTGTGGTAAGAGACATGCTGAAGCCTTTAAAAATGGCACATTGAAGAAGTCTCACCCCCACCTTAAATTTGGAATTAAGTTTTTAAAAAATATGAACTCCTAAATTAAACCTTGCTTAGCTTGTCCATAAATCCAGGAGTGGCTCCACTAATCATGGTTCATTTGTGGTGATGGTGTTCAGACAGATAAAAACGAGGCAAAGATATTAAAGCCCAGAACACATAATGTCAGATAGACCTATAATTTAAAGCATTGGGCGGGGTGGAGAGACATCTTAGGATCTCTTAACAAATCTAGAGCAACTGCTGGAGATGGGAACCATACAAAGCATCAGCCAAAACCTAATGGTGAAGGTTCAGGTTTAACAAGTACATAACAGGAACCAAATATGGCATGTATTGCCCACCGCTTTGGAAGATTTCAACCGAATGGAAGAATGGCTCTCTGCACTCATACCGAGTATGGATTCAGTCATGTATATGCTTGTACAGTTCGGCTGATAACTTGAGATGGGTGGCCATCTCTTCCTTTACAGTGGCATTTTGTTTCTTGACAGGTGGAGGGCTGCTTTGGGAAATGTCTTCCCACAGCCTGCTTTCATGTTCACTGTCCAGAAAGTGGATAGCAATTCATACTGAACACTTTATACTGATTTCTCATTTTCAAAACAATGGCAGCGATTTCACACAAAGCTGAAATGTCAAAGAGAACTTCACAGAAGGCTTGCTTTAAATGGCCACATTCCACAATGCTGAGCCCTTTTAGTGGCCAAAGGAAGACAGGTGTTCTTAACTGTTACAGTTTACATATATATGCACATTCACACATTTCTCTTCTGTTAGCTTTGAACAGGGTGCCAGTATCTGAGGATCTCCATATCTTACTGTCCCATTGCCACAAAGAAAAGACCTGTGAGAAGAGAAAAATCCTTTTGTCAATAAATCTCCCCCCTCCCAGTTAATTTCAATCCCCCCTCCCCAATTTAGTTTCTAAATATTATGGAATATTTCTATGTATGACTCCTAAGACCGTTAAGTTATGTTTGGTTCATTAGTGACATTTGTATCTTCTCCAGGACATGCTCATTTTCTCCATATGTCAATCTTATTTTAAAAAACAACCCATGAGGCTGGTCAGCTGAGAAAGCAAGGCTAGCTCAAGGCCAACCAGAAGGTTTCCTGGCTCAGTGGAGACTTAAGCATGGATCTTCCCAATTGCAATCCAGCTTTCTAATGACTTCACACTGGCTCTTTGATGGAACTGCAGTCTGCTGCAGGAAAGGAGACCACGTGCCATGTGATGGAAAAGTGCAAAGTGAGCCTTTCTGAAGAGGCCATTCTGCTTCTATGGTGTGACAAAGGAACACACCCTTTTCCAATCAGTATTATCTCATTTTAAAAAATCAGAAGGACATGGATTGGAGCCATCCTGGTGTCCAGGCAGATGTCTGTGGGAAAGGCTGTTTATTTAGGGTCTGCTTCCAACATCTTTCCCCCATACCACCTCCCAAACACTCCTGACACTTAGGGGAGCATCACCCAGACGTGCTCTTTGGGGACCAGAAGGAAGCTTAGAAACTCCAGGTTGCAGAAAAGCATGCATGCATCCAAGGAGGGGGTCTGTGGCCAGAACGTTCATTGTCTCTTAACCTTGGAAACTTTCAAAAGTAGTTGGAGTCCAACTCCAAGCAGCCCCTCTACCTGCACGGCCAATGGATAGGGATGATCAGTTACAGTTTAGCAAAATTTGAAGGGTCAACATTTTCCTTCCCCTCCTTTTGAGATGATTCTCTCACTTTTTCAAAAGTAAACAGAACACTGGGAGCAGGACCTATGATGAAGATTATCTGGTGCAAGTAGGTTCAGACAGGAGAAGATGATATTTCAGGTCATGTGGTCCCAAGACACTCTGGGGTTGCAGAGTCAAAATGGAGTAAAAGAAAAAAGAATGAAATGGAGTGAATGTAGCATCTCTACCTATGGACTTGTCTTGCTGTTTTGTGGGTTTTGAGGGTTTTTAAAAATATTGTTGTGAGCTCCCATAAGCAAACAAGCAAGCAGTCAGGCAAGAAAGCAAAAGTCCCACGACCACCGCGAGCTACTTCCGATGCCCCTCTGGATCTCCTTTTAATGCAAGGGATCCTGTGGAGGATCTAGATCCTCTCCTCCCCAAGCCCATTCCAAAGTCCTGCTTCATCCCAGCAGGAAAGGGATCCCAACTATCTTCAATCCCTGTTCAGAGATAAGTGCAAATATTTCCCCACATGCCAGTAGAGAGCACATTGCTCACCGTCCCCTTCTCTGTATAGGAAAGAGGAGGAGAGAGAAAAAAAATCCAACCATTCTTGAACTGGAGTAGTGAGTTGGTCCCCAGCCCCCTTGCCTAGCAGTGAAGCTGCTAGCTGCTAGGCAGTAATTCTATGAGTATGAAGTTCAGTCAAGAGAAATTCACACCCCAAACCTCCTTGTGTGTGAAAGAAGGTGGAGGGAAAAGCCTGATTTCTCACCAAAATGCTAGAGGAAACACTCCCACTAGTTCTTCTGCCCAAAGCCCAGTGATGACATATGCCTTTAATTTCTGTAGCATCCAAGGGGACACCATATAAATCATGAAAGAGAAACCTGAGAAGAGTGATACTTACTCGTGCCCATCTTGTCCACGGATTAGACTCACTCGTTCAGCTCCCAGTTTAGCCCAAAGTAAGGTGAAGAACTGTTTGTGCCAAATGAACTCAATTCTCGTAGCATTCGCAGGATTGATTTCTAAATCAGTGATCTTCGAGTAGATTTGTTCTTGCTTGAGGTCACCACTGTGAATGAGCAAAAGAGGAAAGTTGTGGAACAGCCTTCACGTCTCCCTCGCATTTCAAGTTGGATGACAGTATGAACTTCCAATTTATGCAAATATTGTATAATATCAAGTTGGACTAATGACAGCATAGTTCATTAAAATTGTGTTTTGAATACAACTTAATAATGGTATTGTACACGTGTTCAGAGTGCAGTCTTTAACTAGCCATGCTATCAGACTCAGGGTCCATCCAAATACTCTAAAGGTTCCTGTCTAAGAGGGGTTTAGTTGCCCCTTCATTAGGATTAGTTCATCAGATCCACAGGATATCAGATACAAATTAATCCCTCCCTCTTTCCTTCTACTCCTGGATTTTGCTTGGTGTGTAAGCTCTTATGTGATATATGGGAATGTTCTCAACACAGAGGAGGGCTGATTAAAGCTGAGTCTCTAAATATTGGGGGGAAGAGTGGGGAAATTTGTTGCCTCTGCTTCACACCTGCGGGATCCATACAAAGAGGATGTAGTTTTGTTGTTATTGCTGCTGCTGCTGCTGTCATGTGCTATCAAGTTGCCTCTGATTTATGGTGACCTTATAATGTCCTGTCCTCAACAGGCGTACCCAGCTCCTCTAAACTTAAGGCTGTGGTTCCTTTAGGGAGTCAATCTATGTAATACTTGATCTTCCTCTTTTCCTGCTGCCTTCAACTTTTCCTAGCATTATTGTCATTCTCATTGAGTCCTGCCTTCTCATGATGTGCCGACTAGTTTATCTTTCTGTCAGTCTGCCCTCTTTAGGAATTAATGGTTGCAATAGCTGAAGAGAAATGATAGTTCAGTGGTGATAGGGGCAGAGAAACTCCTAAAGGACAACTACTGGACAGCAGCAGTAGTTGAAGGTGACAGTGGTTGAGGATCATTGTAGACAACAGCAGCAACACTCAAGCTAAAAGAAGAAGCCCATGGTAAACCACTTATGAATAATTTATACTTCTAAAATGAAACAAAGAAATGAGGTTAGAAATGAGACTCCCAATTAGAATCACTCTGGATCTAACCTTGACATAAGCTATAGCACAAGCTGTTACGGACTATAATGTAAAGCCTAATGGAACAATACAAATCAGACTGCATGAAAAACCTATCAACATAACCATTATTTAAGTCTGTGCTCCAACTGCTGCTGATGCCCAAGAAGAAAGAACATAAAGCTTTTATGCAAGTATCAAAGAAGAAATGGTTCATATACCAAAACAGGATATTTTGATAATAATAATGGATTAATGGAATACAAAGTTAGAAAATACAACAGAATGAAACACAGTTGGAGAAAAGCAGAATCAAACACACTTGGACAAGTCAGAAATTAATTCTTTGAATTCTGTGAAGTCAAACATTAGTTGATTGCAAATACAAGCTTCAGGCAACCAAGATTATACATACAGACATTAACTGATCTCTAATATAGAAATCAAATTGACCATATAACTGATAGTCAAAATAAAATAAAAGACTTGATGGATAATTGAAGAAACTCTTAAAATTATTAATTGACAGATGAGACATGAAAGTAAAAGGTGAGTCAAAAGGATCAGAATCCTAAATGCAACTTTCAGCAATTCGCATGTAAGACACAGAGAACTCTTGTAATAATCATTACAAAGAAATAGAACAGAAAAAGAACAAAAAAAGAATAGGATATCTCTTCTGTGAGATCCAGGAAGTCAAAGAGAAATTTCAACCTAGATTAGGGATGCTGAATGTTCAACACATGAATAGATTATTTGATAGGCTAAAATAAAGAGAAGGTGTGAAGAATTTATTGAAGAACTATGCAGAAGAGATGAAGGGATGGCAGGTTCCTTTTAAGAAGAAACCTGTGATAGAGAACCTGGAGTATATGGAATAATAATACAGCTGTTTTGAGATACAGAGGCAGAATCTGTACATATCTTCACAAAAATATGTCTACAAATGCAAAATACAAAGAAATGGCTCACAGACAGGGTTCAATCCCAAAGAAAAGGAGACACCATGGACTGCAGTAACTATAGGAATTTCTCATTAATTTCCCATGCAAGCAATGTGATGGTCAAGATAAAAGGCAAGAAATGACAGATGTTGAGCCTGGATTCAGAAAAGAAGCACTAGACCTCATATTGCAGCTATATATTATCATAGAGAAGAATTTCAGAAGGAAGTTGTTCTGTGCTTTGTAGATTACAGCAAAGCCTTTGACACTATTTATCATGAAAAACTATGGATCATTTTAAAAGAAATTGATGTGTCACAACATTTGATAGTCACAGTGTGTAATTTATCCTGTGGACAATGGGTTAAAATCAAGAGAAGTAGAATTATTTCCATTTGCCAAAGGTATCAGACAAGGATATATTTTATCTCCCTATCTATTCAATCTAGGTGCAAAACATATAAGGTATCAGACAAGGATATATTTTATCTCCCATCTATTCAATCTAGGTGCAGAACATATAATTTTAAAAATCTGGATTAAAGTCAGATGAAGGAGTGCAAATTGGTGGAAGAAATAACAATAATTTAAGATACACAGAAGATATTAGCTGAAAATAGCAGTGACTTGAAACAACTACAAATGATGGTGAAAAAAGAAACTGCAAAAGCAGGATTACAGCTAAATATTTTTTAAAAAATACTAAAAAAGAAATTGAAATAATCCAAGATGTTTTATGCCTTGGTTCAGCCAAGAATCTAGAAGCAAACTGACATTAGGAAAGGCCGCTATGAAGCAAGTAGAAAGGATCATGAAGTACAAGGACATGTCAGTGAACACCAACACCAAGTTCTACTGGGAACTTTTATCAGGTTTCTAAACTATTCTCAATTATTATGTAAGGATACGAAGGCTGAACAAAGAAGAAAGCTGGCAGGGGAAAAAATAAATTTGGTGTTAAAAGATACCATGAATAGCCAGAAAGACAAATAAGTGGATCTGAGATCAAATCAAGACCAAACTCTTACGAGAATATGCAATAACTAAGCTGATGTTACATACTTCAGATATTTCTTGAGAAGAGAAGCATCACTGGAAAAGGCAATGATGCTAGGGAAAAAAACTTAAGGCATTACCAAAGGAGGAAGATTTGTATGAGATGGACTGACTCAGTAAAGAAATCGACAGCTTTCAGTTTGCAAGACCTGAGCAGAGCTATTAATGACACAGGGGGACCTGTTGAAGTTCATTAGTTCATATGTTGCTGTTAAGGCAGATCTCATGGCATAGAATGACTACCAATTCACAAGAACAAGAATTACAAAGGCTACTGGCAATTTCTATATGCTATTAGTAACTTGCTTGATCTCATTTGACTATTTTAATTGTGTGTTATTACTGGGCACCTGCAGATTATATTTTACATTGTGCCATATGTTTTCAGGGAAACATGGTCTTCTTGCTGCAGCCTGCAGCATTCTACTTTGAGGACGAGTGGGAAATGGCAAGAGGAGATGAAAGAGACTGAGAAAATGGGCAAGAAGAAAGAAGCATACAGAGGGAGAAGCATCTATATATTCCGAGGTTAGACGTAGGCCCTGTGGCTCATGCTGGAGGCTAGCATACTGTCTGTATACTTGTAACTGAGCTCTGATTAGATGTGACCTGGTTTTCCTTTTTGTTTCTTAAAATCTGCAATATAAATCTGTTCCTTCTCTACTATAAGAAAAACCATGAAACTTTCTAGGCCACTTCCTGAATCTAGCGGACCAGGCAACAGAAGCCGATGTACATTTGTGACAAAATAAATGTGTTTATTGTTAAAATGCTACAGAACATTTTGTCATTTTTGTTCTGTAATAGGTCCTCCTTATTGCTTCTTTTCATCTCAGGCAAGGAAGCCCGGAAGCCAGGTCTGGTACTGCAGTGCAAATGGTCCCATATATTTTGCACTCTTGCTCCTCTTTCCCTCCATTCTTTCTCCACGTGACATCAAACTCAATAAGGAGGTCAGGAGAACTAAAAAAGGCCTTGCTATTTCGTGCAGTTGTAGTTGTCCACTACACACCGTATCATCCAACTGTGGATCTTGGAGGCCCTCCCAGCTTCTAGTGGGCACACACTGCAATGTTTGCTTTCTTCGTGCATTGAAGAACACAGTGGGACCCTCACATCTGCGGGATTGGTATCCGTGGTTTCAGTTATCTGTGGTTTATTGCAGTCCTATATAGCAGTGGTCTCCAGTCTTGGGCCTCCAGATGTTGTTTGACTACAATTCCCAGAAGCCTTCACCACCACCTCTGCTGGCCAGGATTTCTGGGAGCTGAAGTCCAAGAACATCTGGAGGCCCAAGGTTGGGAACTACTGCTATATACAACTGTGGCAACCCCAGACCTACTGGAGTATCCCACCCTATAGTTATGCTGCCACCAACCATTCCCTGTAAGGAGTCACACAGACCAGGAATGGATTTTAATAAATAAAAGAACAAGGTTTATTGAAACAACAAACAGGGTAAATAAAAGAATCAGGTAAATAGGAAACTGGAACGTGGCATAGCCCCAATCACACGCATACAACAGCTTGGTTCCCACAGAACACTTTAAGGTAACGCACAGTCCCTGAACCTATCAGTTCTGGCTACCCAGATAGAAACCTGATCCTATCAGGTATGTACTAACTGACACACAGTTGTCCCCAGTCTGACACACAGACTCCAACTCCTAACTCTCCACACAAGCTCCAAATATATATACAGTACAGCTCCTCCCCCCTGATGTCCCGCCTTCCACTCCCCATAGGATGGAACTTTCCCTCCAAACCCATGACAGACAGGTACCATCAGTGCTGTATGTGACAACAACATACAAGGGAGCAGTGGCCATGTGGCCTTTTTCTCGCCCCCTTGTGGCCTCTGTCACAAAGGGGTGTGACAAAGTAGCACACATTTTAAGCAGCACACACTTGTATATGATATACAGTATAAGGTTTGCTGCTATCTGCAGTTTCTGGCATTTGAGGTAGATTGTGGAACGGATCCCCCACAACTATAGGGGTCCTATTGTACTTTATTTACTCATTCAGACTTGAATCTAGAATCAGAAGTTAGGATGGTCACTTATGCTTTGTCCAAAAGGAGGGAAACCACTTAAAAAGAGGACAAAAGAAGATGCAGTTTTTCACAAAAACCTGAACATTTTATTAAAATAAAAACGATGATGCTTCATTCCACCACCACCACCACCAGCCCTTTGCTGACTGCCTAACTAGGAATCTGGATGGTTCATTCCAGGCTAGTTTATGTCTTAAAAAATAAGGATGAGCTACTACTTCTTTGACCCAGGATGCTGCAGCAACTACAAGAGGGCAATTCAATGAGTATGCATTCTCCATCTTAAAAAGAGAAACAGAGAAGTCAACAGCTTTGAAATGAGAAGCAGAACTTCCTTGAAAAATCAAAGATCTGTTCCTACCACAAGTTTCTGCAGCTCTGCAATTGAGCATGCTGTTAGGCTCTGATTTGCCATGAAGTGATATATGCAAGGGATTATTTTGCAAGTCGAATGTACAGCCATCAGACATTTGGGGAATAGTGCATCTCTGGAGGGAAAACATTTTGTCACCTTCTAATTGCAAAGCTGGCATTACACCTGTTTCTTTCCTGGGAGTGCCAGACCAAAGCTTCCTAGTCCCACCAATTCAAAGACACTGTGCTCAAATGCGTCTCATAAGTAACATGTGTATCCCATCTTTTCTCGAATGAGGTCAAGGTGCCATGTGTAGCTCTCCTTTTTCCCACTTCATCCTCACAACCACCATATGAGGTAGATCAGTTGGAGACAATGAGTTTCACTGTTCAGTGAGGACTTGAGCCTGCATTTTCTTGCTCCCAATTTAATACTTTAAACACAACACTAAACACTTATAAGGACATTAACCCCAAGTATGAATGATCATAGTAGAAACCACTTTCTTTTCCTAAAGCCTTTTAACAAATAAGAATAATACTACTGTTATATATTAATTTTTCTTATATACTTTAACCAATATGCTCCTCCAGATTGCAAAGGTTGCCCCCCCTTCTCCCAATGTTGGATGTATTTATGCACACCTAATACCTTTAGATCGAAGACGAGCCACTTCCCTGACTGAAATCGCATGCAAAGCTACTTCGTGCACACTTTGCAGGATATGGGAGTTCTTTGGATCACCATCTAGCTGAATGCTGACACAGAGCTGGTAATTGTTATTTTAAGACTTAGTTGCCAGAATCCCAGAGCCACCTTGACAAGGACTCTGATCACTGGGGGATTCTGGGACTTGTGGTCAATTTTTTTTAAATCATTCACAGCTCTGGACTGCATTGCTTGAAGTTTAGCTGTAGGGTCTGTGTTCTATATATGTGGAAAAACATGCTAACTATTTATTGGATGGTAGATGTAGTTAGTTATATCCCAGTTTGCAAACCTGCAAAACTAAGTGTTTGTCTATAATGTATAAAACATACCTTACAATCTGGTATTCCTTTATGTCTTCATCTTTGCTGTGGAAAACTATATTTATTTCTCCTTTCACACTTTTCATTCCAGACAGTTTTACAGATATATTATACCTCCAGCCTAGGTATTAAAAATATAATGAATCCATACATTACATAAAGTAAGAAATGCAAGAATTTCAAACAGAGTTTTTTTTAAGTATATGAATATTGGTGCCTGTCGCAATGAAATGAACAAGTGAGGACCACTCTTTTAAAAGGTAATAGCTTTAATTTAATTAATACTTTAATTGCAAGTTTATAGAAAGTCAAACAAGAGAAAAAGAGGAGAAAAGCTGGATAAACTATAGTTATGGGCTATATTATTATTGCCAAGCAGATATCACTGAAGTCAAGGGGTATAAATCCTAGTACATGGAATTAGAATTGCATCATAAATGTATGTGTATATTCCATCTATAAATGTGAGTAGACACGGTAAGAGAACATGTTCTGTGATTAAAACTCTGGGATATTTATTCATTTGAATCACACAGTATCACTCTCAGGCATGAACTTTGCCTACATTGCTTTCAACTTCAAATATATATTTTAGAGTTTTACAAAGTCTCCTGCTGTAGAAGAACACATAGGATTTTCCCTTCCACTGTCAACAAATGCTGACAGAGGACAGGCTGAGCTATGGATTTTGTTACATCAAGGAGCGACAACTGCCAGCATGAACTGTTTTTGAAAAAGGATAGACAAATTCATGGGGAAAAAGCTATCAGTGGCTACTACTTATACTGTCTCCATTATAAGTAGTCTCTGTAAATCTGGGCTCCTCCAGACTGGATATTTGTTCCAGTAACTACTCCATGTTTCTTTATACAGGTAATTTCCAAGGTTTGTGTCTTGTAACCCTGATCCCTTATCCTGTGCCACTACTTGCTAATATTTCTCTCTGACTTGCTGCCACCACTGCCTCTGACACTGCTTTTGATGAAGAGAGTTAAAACTGAAGCTTCCAAGCTCCTTTTTTCCCCCACCAGCTTCCTTCACCGCTGCAGCACACATCTACATTGGCTTCCTATTTTCTGTCCTCTGCTGTCTTTAGAGATTTCTTCAGTTTGAGAAGGTGCCAAAAACATAAAATCACACACATTCCCATTGCATACAGATGTTGGGTTATGTCTGGAAAAAAAAATCTCAAAAGGAAAGATCTCAGGCTATAGAGGCAATATAAGGAAGAGGAACAAACTAATTCAAGGGGGCAAGAAGAAAGAAAAACGTTGGGGATGGGGGGAGGGAGACTTCGTTCCTGTACATATTGCTATAAAAGGCAACATCATCTGGATGGTAGGGGGAAAACTGGGACCATCAGGACAAATCAGGTATCTCATGTGGAACAAATAGCTCAACTAGATAAATCCTCAGGTGCTACCATTTCCCCTAAAATAAGACATAACGTGAAAATAAGCCCTAGTATGATTTTTCAGGATGCTCGTAATATAAGTCCTACTCCCAAAATAATCCCTGTTATTTAGTCGTTTAGTCATGTCCGACTCTTCGTGACCCCATGGACCAGAGCACGCCAGGCCCTCCTGTCTTCCACTGCCTCCCAGAGTTGGGTGAAACTCTTTTCTAAACCCCAAATTATATAATTTGCACGATCACACCCCTTTGATCCTGAAGCCCTTTCATGTCTGCTTCATGATCAAAGGGGTGTGATTGTGCCAGCCTTTCACGGCTGCTTTACCCTATGGCTTCGCAAAAGGTGGGGAAAGCGGCTGCCTTCCATGTATTAAAAAACCCTCAAGTTTTTGTCTAATTATTTAAGTAAAAAGTGTCATTTTATACATGGAAAAATATGGTACTATACTGTACTAAGTAAGAGGATTTCAGCCTGACCCCTACAGTCCAGTATATGGGTCCCACTATCCCATGGTTCTACACAGAAAATGCTGGGGAAATGGCATTTATGTATAGAGCTTTGATACTCAGAATTGATTAGTCTTAGGGGATATGCTGAATACATTCTTCTGTAGCAGATTTCACCGGAGTTCAACTGACCAATAGTTATAGGAGACTTTTTTTATTTTTATGCACTCACTGGTAAATGGTTCCTTAGGTCCTGTGTTTAAATAATACTTTGGCTTCTCCTTCTTCAGTCTGTAACGAAACCAATCGGCATAATGACCCATCATTGGGCATCCTTCTCTAGGGCACGGAAAACAATTTCCCTAGGAGTAAATAAACTATCAGTCATAAAACAGACATGTGTTTGTATTCTGACATTTGTTAGGCAATAAATTACAAAATCTCTTGCTACGCTTCTGCCTCATCACCTAGAACAGGGGTCTCCAAACCTTTGAGCGTGAGGGCCACATCATATATTTTCAGCATTTTTGAGGGCCAAAGAAATGTGCGCACCCACCCGTCCGCGCACACACACACCATACAGACGGATGCATGCACACATGCATGCATGCCCCCCACCCCTCCTGCACACACACGGACACCCACACGAATGCCCACATGGACACACACATGCATGGACTGAATGGAACAGGCCAAATAAAATGGCAAGGTGGGCTGGATGTGGCTCCTGGGCTGTAGTTTGGATCGAGAATATTATGATTAGAGACAATTTTTTTTCCTGCTTGTACATCCTCTGGCAAGTAATTAAGCCCAATACTTAAATTTCAATAGAGTATGCAAAGCGCTGTCATTGCAGCCTTCCTGCTAGTTACATTGTGCCCTGAAGGTCAATGTCCCTAATCTTGATATTTCGGGAGTTGCGCTGGCATAGCCAATGTCTAGGGAAGGACTGGTTCAACTTAAATCAAGCCAACATGCAAATGCTTACCTCCTGAAAGGTTTCGTATGATTCACATGGATAACCAAGAAATCCAAGTGGATAAAGAACGCTGTATTTATAATATTCATGGCTTCGGGAGTGGTGGCAGTTTCCAACATTACGAACCTCTGCCAAAATAAAGCTATAAGTGAGAAATTTTACAGCTTTGTTAGATATGAATCATAATACAGCAAAGACATATTGGGGTGAAAATAGATGTTCTACTTTGTATTGCGAGTTCTTGGAGTTAAATTAATCCAATTGTTAGTCCCATGTTGAATGGAAAAGGGTAGTGGTAGTAGTTCAGTGTGGGTCATAGGGCTTCCTCTTTGTTCATTTTTTTAAGCTGAAAGCAGCATTTTCCAGGCTCCAGGTGGCCCATAGGAAGCCCATAGGCCACAAATTTGTTCCCAAAGCCCTCTAAGATGACCCAACTCCTGAAAAAGGCCCTTTAAATCAATGGGACTTACATAAGTATTGACCTAACAAAATCCCTCCATGCAGTGGGTCTGCTTTTAGTCAGCATTAATAAATGGATTTCACATTTGTTGCTTGGAAGTGGAGTCCTGGCAACTGGACTTTTTTCTTATTAGGTTCAAACTTTTTGCTACTCATCCAGGGAGCTTCTGAGGCGAGTTGATAGGAGACCCCTGTTATATCGTCCAGGTTTTTTTCACTTTCCCCTGTCTGAATAGGCTTATTAGATGGACAAAAGATATGGTGTGATTTTGTGTGTGTGTGTGTGTGTGAGAGAGAGAGTGAAAACCACATTTCTACAGTCCTTCTCCACCCATTGTCATAGGTCGTTAACAGTCGTTAACAACAGTGGTCTTTCGGGTGTGTGTGTGGTCCTGATCTTTCTGGGGACAGATTGTATCTAACACCTCCACCCCTGCTAAGTGAAGGATTTTCTATATGCACATGTATCGCCTCCATGACCCCTCTCTCAAACCACCTCTCTGCCTCCTATTTATTATGCTGCACTTTCATTCCTCCCCAGAAATAACAGGACCACACACCAGAAAGACCACTGTTAATGACTGTTAATGACTCATGTCAATGGGTGGAGAAGGATTGCAGAAGTGGGATTTTCAATCAACACCCCCCCTCCTTTGTCTAACAAGCCTATTCAGGGGAAAGTGAAACCAACCTGGAGGATTTCCTACCAACTCTCCTCAGACTGAAGAAGCTACTTGGATGAGTAGCAAAAGATCTCAACCTCATAAGAAAGAAGTCCAGTCGCTATGACTCAGCTTCACCTGAGAATCTTCAGAGACATTTGTTGTTATCAGCCATCAAATCACATCTGATTTCTGGTGATCCTTATAGTGTTTTCAATGTATATTATATAGTTAAGGATTGGTTTTACCATTGCCACCACCCAGTGAGTTGCCATGGCCATGCTGGGATTCAGATCCATGTCTTCTGAGTCCTAGTTCATCACTATGTCTACTACATCTGGGATTTCATGTTAGTAATTGCGAAGAGAAGACAGACTATCTCTATAACGAACTATGTCTGGGTTTAAAGGAAGAGGCAAAGGAGCATGCAATGTTCAAGTAGGGGTCAGAGCTTTCAAGTTATTTCTTTGGACTTCAGTGCCCATGCTGACTGAAGAGTTGTAGTTCAGAAGAGTAACTTTCCTAATCTTTGGTAAAAGCAGAAGTTGAGGTAGGGATTGAAATTTTGTCAGGTCAAAAGAGAGAGGGTTTGGAGATTAGCAATCCTAATGGGATTCAACCCAGCATTCAGGTTAGCGAAATTTTGCAGTTCCCCAAATAAATATTCTGGCCCTTGTGAGTCCTGACAATTGCTAGTGAAACCCACATGTAAGGGCTCTGGACATCTTCCTCCACTCCCTTCTCTTGCATGGTGCTGTGACTTCCATAAGAATATGGCAGCCCTTTTCAGGTTTCAAGGTGCAAAATGACAGAGACTGTGCATGTCTATGGCAGAGATGATACAGGCCATTTTACCTTGGTCGAATTCTAGCAGTGATGTAACTGCATCATTGCATCCAGCCATAATACTTCCACCGTTGGGGTAAAAGTCAAGATGACCAGTAGCATTAAGCATCCCTAGTCCTAAAATAGATGATAGATGAGTGAAATGAATCAGCCTGTTCTTTATGCTTGTTTTACACAATTAACAATACCATAACAATAAATATGTTTTATACAATTAGCATTAATATTAATGTGCTTCACCATTACCTATATTGGGAAACTGCCCAGCATTGCTATGGATGACATCCACAAACTGAGCATCAGAAGGATCCAGCCTGACCATGTCAGGAAAACCTTCAAAACCAATTGCAGCCGGGTCCAAGCCTAAAGAGATATAAAATCATCCAGTTAGGATGGGGAAGCTGCTTTTTTCTCTCTCCCTCTAAATCCAGAGTCCCTGTCAGAGTGATGATTAATAGTATTTAAAATGCTCTGGATATTTATTGAAGACAAATATAATAACAAAGGGTGGACTACTATGGCCCTTCAGATGTTGTTGGACCACAACACTCAAGTTCCCTTACCATTGGCTATGAACTGCACAACTCACCTCTATTAGATGGCACTTATTTTGAAAAAGTTATCAATCATAAAATATACTTGAAAGGCATGAAATCACTCAAGCATGCTGACACTTAAAGAGACATTACAAGAATTATACCTGGTTAGTTCTCACATAGAGAGTAACAAAGATAGTAGTTGTAGTTCTGACTTTCAGGAGATATTTTTGAGCCAATGCAGATGTAACAGTATGTGTTGTAGATGCACGTGCCACATACCTGTGTCTTCTGTTTTGGGCACAAACCTCTCCTTCTTCATGATTTACTGCAATCATGGCTTAGCATTTCATCTACATCAGCATTAGCCATGATTCACATTGACAAGGATTGACCTTATCGCCATAGTTGATGCTAGATTTGCAAATTATGTTTATGAGGCAGTGGCAGTAGCCGTATCAGGAAAGGATGGGTAGGCATTCTACTCCAACAAAGCAATGTTTCCCATACGAGGTCAAATCAGCATTAGAAGGTGTGGAGAAGCTACAAGAGAGATGGAGAGGCACAAAATGTCCTAGCTGCTTCATGCTTCTGGGTTTCTAAATCAAGTTTAGGAATGCTACTGCTTCTGAAGCAAAACTAACCTCAAATAATTTGCTGCTTGTCTGAAACAGTGAGCTACAACTTCCATAACAACTGTATGTTGAAAATGTGAAAGATGTAAGCACTATTGTTTAAAGAGATGTAACTCACAATTTAAAAAAAATATTTCAACAACTGCAATAAAAAAAAAGGAAGGCTACTCCATTTTTGACTTTTGTATCAGCACATGGAAATGAAGGGTAAAAGTAAAGATGTTGCTTTCCCTTGAAGCTATAGTGGCTCCATTCTCCTCTTGTACTCTTTAGCACTGAAAATCAGGATAAGGCTCCACACTTCTCTTTTCTTGGTTCACCTTACACGTCCTGTGTCAATGTCCAGCATACCTATAACTGTGGCACGGAAAATGTCTATTGTCTTTTTCAGGCAGGGCCAGTTGCACAAATTAAAATCATGCCTTGAAGGCATAACAGAAGTAGGTGGGACCTATCATCAGATTTCATCAAGCCATGTGTACTTGGCGTGCAATAAGAGAGACCAGTAGCTCCATAACAGAAGTAGGTGGGACCTATCATCATCACCAATAGCTTCCTATCCCCTCTCCGGTTCTACTACTTCCTTACACATGAAGGGCTACAGTCTGAGAAAAAGAGCTTCCATTGTATGTGGTGGATTTCCTTATGAATGGGAACCCTAATTTGCCAGGGATACAACTCATGTGAAGTTTCCTACAGGTAGTGAAGGCTATACTCTTCAAACTATCACCCTCCCTGCATGTGAGCATCACAGGAGTGTTGGCAAAGTAGATACAGCTGACACACTCCACCTCTTTGTGTCTTAGTCAAACGCTGTTTGATCTTGCCTAAATAGGGGGTAGGTGAGAGTGCATTCTTTGCCATATCTCTATATTGCCTCTGTCCTTGAATGTTGCAGAAACAACTACTGGACCAATATTGCTCCATCTGAAAGATCCTGGTTAACTTTTACCCCTTAACCCACATTGGTAAATCCACACTTTCCCCTATCAAATCTTCCTGTTTCTCTATCAACATTTACAATCTGGTTTTCCTGGATTGCCTACCAGTTATTCTGCCAATGCCTGGAAATCGTCTGGAAATGCCTCGAAGTCGCCTTCCTGCTTCTCCAGCAGTATGAGCACCAAGGCTATGGCCAATGAGATGGACATTGGAGGGAGAGTACAGATACATTATCTAGTCATTAAAAAACAAAAGTGGAAAAGCTATAGAGGCTTACATGATCAAGAAAAAATTAATGATTTTTCAGTCTTTCAGTCTTTCATGATCAAACTGTTTGGCATAACAGCTGCGGTTCAATTAACATGTACAGTACTTAGGATAAATGTTGACACTGACTGCACAGATTATGATGATGTGTGGCTTCATTGCATGGACAGGTATAGTCACTTTTGTCTGAATCCATATGAGAATGCTGAATGTTCAATAGAGACCTGATGCAAAGAAATGAATCTGGGGATTTATCTGCATATACTTGACTTTCCAACTGCATTCTGTTTTTATTGAATGCATTATTGTATATGACTTCTAGTTTATTTTGCACACTAGCAAAACATTTATCTTTAAAAATATGTCAAGTTACTTCAGCACAGTGTAGTATGGATCCATGAAGCTTACTTCAAATCAGTACAGTTAGTATAGTAGATCCAGAGGTTTCAGCATCAAAGCCTCAGGACATTTTGTGTAACAGGGATTATGACATCATTGTACCACTTCTGGCTCCCCTATGCCCTTTGAGCTAAGTAGCAATCCTTACAGAGGCTACGGCAATTGTCATGATAAGCACTTGCACTTTAAATTTACCACTACATCCCTTTTTAAATTTATTCCTACCTTGAAAGCATTGAGAAGATAAGCTATTATAGCTCCTAGAACACGAATGTTGCTTGCAGCTGTAAAGTAGGTACATTTAGCTCCATCTTCCCAATCAACAGCAAAACAGTTTATATTTTCCACCTTCACCAGCAACTGTAGTATATACGCAATGCATCGAAAGAAAGTACACCATTAGTTATTCACACAATCAAAAAAGTGTTTCAGAAATTATAGAGATCATTTACCAATGTTTGCAAACTAAAGAGAGTCCACCAAGTCTGAAGATTTAAGAGTGCAAATATAGGGCTTGGCTCCTACAGGGAAGTTAGGCTGGCTGCATACCTGTTATTCTTCCGCTGGCAAGCAAAATTGTTTGTTTAATCAGACTTTTAAACACCTACATGAAACCACTGGGAGAGGTGGTCCAGAGTTTTCAGACCTGATGTCACCAGTACGCTGATGACACCCAACTCTATCTCTCCTTCCCATCTAATTCAAAGGAAGCTGTCTTGGTTTTAAACCAGTGCCTGATATCCAGCCCATTACTGCTAAGGGCAAAGAAATTGAAACAACCCAGACAAGAAAGAGGTGGCCCTAATCAACTGGAAGGCAGATAAAGTAGTGGGGATACAACTTGTGCTGGATGGAATTACATTTCTCCTGAAAACTCAAATTGACAACTTGGATTCATCCCTGAGCCTGGATACCCAGGTTTTGGCAGTAGCCAGGAGTGCTTTTGCACAGTTAAAACTGGCGCACCAGCTTTACCGGTTCCTTGAGATGTCTGATACGGCTACAGTGACACATGCTGTAGTTACATCCCGTTTCAATTATTGCAATGCAGTCTATGTGGGTTTACCTTTGAAGATGGTTTGGAAACTTCAACTGGTTCAAAATGCAGCAGCCAGACTACTGACTAGGGCCAGTTGTAGGGAGCATATAATGGCACTGCTACAACAACTGCACTGGCTACCAGTCCATTTCTGGCCCCAATTCAAAGTGCTGCTCATCACCTATGCAGCTTGGATCCATGCTACTTGAAGAACCCTATCTCACCATATGAGCCTTCTTGGCATTTAAGATTGTCAGAGGAGATGCTTTTCTCAGTCCTATTGCAAGAGCAGGCATGGTTGTTGTGGAAACAACAGAGGACTTTCTCTGCAGCAATTCCCAGGTTATGGAATGCTCTCCCTTGGGAGATCAGGCTGGCCCACTCCCTGTTGACCTTCTGTCAATAGCTGAAGCCCCATCTTTCTAGGCAAGCTTTTAACAATCATAATTGAGTCCCTGAATGCCTTCTTTAACTTAGGTGGCTTTTAATGTTTATTTGCTTTTAATTACTGAGTTGTATTTTAATTAACACAGGTTAATTGTTTACTTAAAAATTTTACTTATGTTTTTAATTCTGTTATTTTTAACATTGTGAGCTGCCTTGGGTGCCCTTATCAGGAAAAAGTGGCCTAGGAAGGAAGGAAGGAAGGAAGGAAGGAAGGAAGGAAGGAAGGAAGGAAGGAAGGAAGGAAATCGGAACAGAGTTGTAAAAAGGACTTTTGAAAGGAGTGGAGACTGCTTTTTTAAAAACTTACTTGCTTTTAGATGTTTCAATTTTTAAACATCTGTTTTATGTTTCTAAGTTATATGGAATGTATTGTGAGCCACTCAGGCAACATTTTGGAGAGGAAAGAGATGCATAAATCAAATATATGAATAAATGTGTTAAATAAACAGATGGAGGTCGCAATGGAGATCACTAGATCAAAAGAGATGATGACAACAATATCTACATGACACAAACAAATGAAAACACACACCCCAGCTATAGTATGAAAAAAGGTAAGAAGCTTATTCCCCCAAATCTATTCTTCTGTGTGTATGTGTGTGTGTGTGCACGCATGTGTGCGTGCACACATGTGAAATTTTCACCTGTTCTCCATGTTCTAGTGTCTGCAAATTAAGAGGGAAATTTGAAAATATAAATATCTTACCAAGCACAGCTCCACAACCCAGCCATATTTTCCAGTGCTTGTATATCCATGAATAACGAAGCGTGTTTTCCTCCATCGAGAGAAATATGATTTTCTGATCGTGGATGTATCATTGTAGTATACTTTCTGTTTCAAATTTAAAAACAATTATAAAATGAATTCTTTGAAGTTTCAAGGAGCTTTAAAAAAGGGGGATATTTTCTTCCTATTATCTGCTAACAAACCTTATAAAGCTTGACAAGCTGTCATGCTACATGTTTTTAAAATTGGTATCAATATCTTCAGTCCATAGATTTCCAAAGCTAGGCGGCTGACAAAATTTCATAGGTGCTTATATTCTTTTTGTCATATGTATCTCTATCATTGGCTTTACAAACTTATAGATCAAGAGCCAAGGATGTACAGTATTTGGTATACTATCCAGTACTTCTGCTACAGCCCCCCCATAGCACCAAAAATCTGCTCAGGGTGGAAGTAGTGTGATCCAGTACAGGTATATCATTGGACATCATGGATGTGACCTCATAAATAGACTCGTTCTCCATGTAATACAGAATATTCTCAGCCTAGTTGGACTTTTTAGGTAACTGAATAGTAAGTTTTGCATTTTCTGAAATCTGCTGAATAAATCAGCTTAGACAAATGCTGGCAAGATACCAGATCTGGAAGATTAATATTCATTCTAATTATTGATAATTATAACTTGAAGTTGCTCACAGGCAGCTGTATTAAGTACTTTAGAAATAAATAAGTGCTACTTTATCTATCTCATCAGTACCTGAAAAAATAACCTTGCTCTTCCCCCAGGCAAATTCGTATGAATGGAGAACAAGCACACACAGCTGTCACAAATGATCTGTAAACATATGATAATAAAGAAGAGGTCTTACTTGTGACACATTTCCAGTCTCTCTGGTGAACAGAGAAAAGGAGATATGCATACTTTCAGGAGAGGCAGGTAAACCAAACAGTTGTCTCCCAGGTATTCCTGACCAAGGGGGTTTATCAGAAAAGCAACCAATCTTTTCGTAGCAAACTTCATTGGCTAAAGAACACACAAGGCAAACTGTTAAATGCATGGCATGCATCAGATATTATTTTAACATGTCATCATGCACATGGGTGTCCAGAGTCCGCACAGAGTCTTAAACTTTATATATTTTTTAAATTAACATGAGTCAGCTTAGCAATGCATAGGCATCATTGTCTTTCCTGAATAATTTCTGTGGACATCCTTAGATAATAAAAAATATCTAATATCTTTTATGTTGTCCCTGTCAACATTTAAAGTTTGAATGGATATTATAATCTGCCCTGAGTAGTGTTCTCACTCAGTCCGGCACTCTAAAAACGCTACTAATTTATTAATCTTGTCCGCAGACTGCTGGGTGGCAGCTCTGATGTCAGTGTTTTTGCACCACAATCCGAAAAAGATTGTGGTGCAAAAATAAATCACAGCAAGTTCAATGAATCATACTCCCAAGTTCATGGAGATAGGATCTTCGGCTTTAAATGCATACGCATGTTGGTTCTATGCTAATGGCTAAGTGCTTAATTAAGACACAATATCCAGTCTTCTTATGTTGACATATAGGAAAAACCATTTTGTACTTTGCCTCAGCCAGGAAGCTGCCTCAGGCTAGATCTGCCACTCAGCGCAATCATGCTTTATAGCGATCTCCTCATTATCCTGGATAAAACTGTCCATCTTGAGCTCCTGTTTTAACAAAAGACCCAAAACACACATTCATTTTTCATTTTCTTATTCTTTTGTTGATTGCTGAAAGAAGCCTCTAAAATAAGAACAATTTGTACTAACAAAAGAGTGGTATGCAAAAGCTTACGTTTCCCTCCTTCATGTAATCTTTCTTTTACTAATTGTCAAATAACCCAAGAAACATTCCATCTAATAGCATCACAAGGGCTGCCATAAAAGGCCAATCAGAATGTACAACAATGAGGAACCAGAATTTTGAATCTGTAAAAGGATGTAATTGGTTGGAATCCATTGAGTATCTTTGCTTCAGTTGTTCCTCGTGGGTGAGATTCCTGTGAGCTGCTGAGTTTGTGGTGCTCTCCATCCTGGATTGTGTTGCCTGCTTGCCTCCATGTTTTTAAGGAGGAATCCCCTCTTCACCATTTCTTTGGATTATTTTTGCTGCTGTCACCAGGCAATCTGCCTGTGCCAGTTTACCTCCTTGAGATTAATATTTGACACCACCTACTTTCTTTAGAGATTGTTTTTGGTTTTTGTTATTTGTTTCTGGCCTTTTCCCCTTTTTTGAATTATTTTTGACATCTAGGCCTGGTCTGCCTGTTTGACTCAAAGATAAGAAGAGAATGTATTTGGGGAATGGGGAGAGAAATCCCCCCATATTTCACAGTTTTAGTTTAGGAAGGGCTTTGACTGTATATTTTCTTAATTTGCTTGCTTGCTTGCTTGCTTTTCTTGGGTTTTGAGATGGGGCTATGTTAATGCGGGAGGTGCTGTATTTTCCCCATGTTGTCAGTGGTTGCTTTCTCTGTTCAATTGGTTTTTATAAATTACTATTTGGTCAATTTACTGTGATGTCATTCTGTTAAACGTGTATTACTTTGGTAGGTTTTGGAGGGATTGTTTTGTTTGCTTCCGTGGTTGCATTTGAGTGGGCCAGGAGAGTGGATTTTGTGTCTGTGCAAATGTGCTAGTGGACTGTGTGAATGTAATAATATAAACTAGTACCCGCATAGGTCTGATGATTTTTCTTCTTGTCTACTGTTACTTGATTTTGGAGTAGATTGATTCTCTGCTACCTAACATTTCTGCTTTTTTGAAGTAATTTTAAGGATTCTTTAGGACTTTTGGAGAGTCAAGAAACATGAATTAAGTAATGAATGACTTAAAATAGGTTTTCCCTTTCATGTAAAATGAAAGGAGAGCTGCATGAAAAATAAGAAAAATGAAAGAGGTAGCCCCTAAAAAACCCAAAATGAAACAAATCTAAAAATTGAACTGTCATCCCTAGCTGTAATGAAAGATTGATGATCAGTGAATCTCAGATAATTTAGAGGGTGACAAAACTTTCTTCCAAAGAAGTGATGTAAAATCACTATTTTTTTTAAAAAAAGATACATGAACACAGATATCTTAAAGTCCTGCCTATGTATATCATGACAATGATAGCTGCATTTATTTGTGAATATGCTATTAAACATAGAACTTTTCTAAGTTTCTTTTGTGGATCGTAATTCTCCGAATCTACCAGTGAATGTAGCCAGGTGCATAATTCAAAATTTAACTTTTCAAAGCTCTGGCTAACCATGAAAATTATTCCTTAAACGATGACTAATCCAGTATAGAAAATATTGTCTTACCCTCTGCACCAAGGAGTAGAAATGCAGCAACCCAGATCTAAAACAAAGTTGAATATGCATGTTAAACATATGTAAGCAATATTACTGTTTAATTTTATTTAAATGAGTTGGTGTCATTGTACAGCTTCAGGTTAGTTACCATGAACCTTAATGGAATCAACGAAATGTAAATTAGGCAAGATGTGAAAATCACCAGCTTTCTTTGCATTAGAGCTTGCATGTCTTCACCAACAGATGTTCCACGTTCATTTTAATGCTACTCTAAATACCTTTCTGGTATAATTCTACAAAAACCTACTCTGAAGTAAATTCTTTAAATTCAAAGGGGATTACTTCCAGTAAGTGGGATTAGGAGGAGTGCAGCACTGATTGCCATGCTGTGCAAGGCAACACATCTCTTAACTGGACTTGCCACTATCTTTCTGTGTGGACACCCAACACACATATACATAGTGTTGGTGCTGGAGTTGGTAGCAAAGAGTAGCCACCACCAGTTTCCATCTGTATAGAGAAGATCCACCAGTAGGAGGAGAACACTGAGCTGAAGCAGGTGAAAAATGTTGGCATTTGTTAGGCAATCCGTGGGAGAAGCTCTGGTGATTTTGGATCCTTCAAGAGAGATAAACCTTTGATCTTTTAGCCATAGTAGTCTGAAACTGGTGTAGTGAAAAATGGAGTTGTGAGTGTATGACAACTCCATTTTATGCCAATGTTAGCTGGCCAAATGTGAGCTGTGGGAGTAGAACCCCCTTTTTTGCTTCTCTATTGCACCCCACTGGAATGATGAAATGCCTCCCTGACTTTCAAATTGATTCAGAAGGCACCATGGAGGGCTGCAGTTGCAAGGGAGGAATCCCCACTACTGCCACCACCATTTCTTCTGCTACCCAGAGAATGATCTGCTGTGCTGATGTTTAAGTAACAGGACAACATTAGTTTTACAGTGTGACATGAACTTGTAGAATAATGGAGCTGAAAGAGGCCAACAAGGATATTGTGTACAACTCTCTGATCAATGCAGGAATACAAATCAAAGTATATCTGAGAAATAGTTATCTAATTCTTTTTCTTGAATTCAGTATCCAAGAGCTTACCACCTTCCAAGGTAATTGGCTCCATTGTCATACTGTTCTAACAAGTAGGAAGTTTTTCCTCATATTCATCTGAAATCTGGCTTCTTGTAACCTAAGCCCATTATTATACGTAGTGTGCTGCACTCTGGGATGATTCAGAATAGATCCTGCTCCTCCTTTGTAGGAAAAATGTTCAAGTATTTGAAGAGTGCTATTATATCTCTGCTCAGTCATCTTTTCTCAAGGCTAAACATGTCCTGATCTTTCTGTCTTTCCTTATATGGTTTGGTTTAGCATCCTCCGATCATCCTGGTTGTTCCAGTTTATTGGCATCCTTCTTAATGTGTGATGTCCAAAACTGGACACAAACTCAAGAGGAGACCTAACCAGTGCCAAATAGAGGGGAACAGGTTCTTCATTGGATTTTATACACAAATATAATCTCACTTTATATTAGTAGGATTATGAAAGGCTGATTTGTTATTGAACCAAACATAATTAGCGATGGGTAAAGCACTCCTAAGACATCAGAGATTCCACAGTATGCTCAATGCACTGCCAAAATAGGTCTTCGAGATGATTCCAGCAGAGAGAACAATTTTAATAATGATGGAGTCACATATAGAAGAGCAAGTCAAAGGCACAGTTCAACACAGCTCAAATTTCAACATGCAGGGAGCCTGTCAAAGCAGGTATGAAACACTATAGCTCATACAAGTTGTTTCCAGCAACCTTCCTTGTCCAGCACGGAAGGTTTAGAGCTTTATAGCTGAGCACCCAGCTCTACCTCAGGACACTTTATCAAAAGTCCTCTTCAGGAGGATGGCTCTGCTCATGAGGATGGTTTACCTGTGATAAGTCAATTGCAAGCAGGCACTCCTTGGGTTCACCTGAAGTCCTGCTGGCATTTTTAATTGCTGGCACTCTTGGCCTAAGAGTGTTGGATCTGCCTCATCTTTTTCACAAGAAGCTTCCTCAGTCTTTTCTCCCAAGGACTCTGAAATGTCCAGTTTTTCAGTGAAGTGTGGTCCAGGAGACCAAGTTCATCTTCAGAGTACGATTTCTCCGGCAGAAGCATGATGGTGGCCTCAAATGGGATTACTGGTAAATCTGTCTGATGGCCCCCTGCAGCTGCATGACTCTGATGGGGATTCCTGCTCCTCCACTGTTGCAAGTGATGCAAAAGGAGCAATTCTAGGTCCTGTGGGCTCAGAGAGGGATGCAGAGGCCAAGTTCTCAATGGCCTCATTTAACATCACTGTTGTCCACTTGATGATCCCAGTGAAGATCCCTGATTCCTTTTCTCCATTAACACAGAGGGAACAGAATGTAGAAACATTCATCTCAGGGGCTCTAGAAAGACTCTTCAGTAACTTCCTTTGGGATTACTGGTCCATTAACAGCATCAGTAGCAAAGAAGAAATGAAGTCAGTTCATCTAAGGTCACTGAGGAAGGAAAAAATGAACGCCTCCCTAATGCAAATTCTTCACTTTGGAGTGGTAAAGGTAAAGGT